TGCATGCCAAGGACAGCAGGGCACAACCCACGCATGGACAGACCCTGACCTCCTATGGAACCAGGGCACTCCCTCGTCTCTTGTCTGATCTCCACTTGTTCAATCCAACCCACCTTCAACCTTCCTCCTCCAGGCTACCACCTCCAAGAAGCCAGCACAGCTAGAAAACACCTTGATGTGTTTGGCCATAGGTCTGGCCCTCTGGGGTTGGTTCTGTTTTTTGGAAGTTCCAGAAACTTCAGGAGGTAGAGCCTAGGTGGAGGCAGGAAATCACTGGGGATGAGACTGTGAAGGTTATTCCTAAACGGGGCACTGGTGGTTCACACCTGTAATCCTAGCTATTCAGGAGGCTGAGATCTGAGGACCAAGGTTCAAAGCCAGTCTAGGCAGCAAAGTCCATGAGACTCCTCTCTTCAATAAACTACTCAGAAAAAGCTGGAAGTGATGCTGTGGCTCAAGTGGTAGAGCACTAGCCTTGAACACAAAGAGGCTCAGGGATCACACCCAAGCCTTGAGTTCAAGCCCCAGGACTGGCAAAAAGGAAAAAAAAATGTTTTTCCTAGACCAGGCCCCCTTCCTCACTCTCTGCTCCCTGCCCTCCATTGGGCAGAGACCTTCCTCTGACACACGTTCTTGTGTCTGCAAAAACTGTTCTACTTCACCACAGCCATAGAAACACAAGGCCAAGCCACCGTGGACTGAATCCACTGAATCTGTGAACCAGAACAAACCCTTCTTCCCCTCCATTGTTTTTCTCAGGTATTAGTGACCTGGTACCAGGAGTGGAGTCATTACCACTCAGAAGTTCTTAAGCCTTTGGAACTGGTTTATGGGAGGACTTTGGACAAACTTGGCAATGCAAGCCTGAGAAAGCGTATGGTGCTGTAGGCAGGGCTTCCTGAGTGACAGAATCCTGCTCGAAACAGGAACAATGAAGGCTTCTGAGATTTCAGATGGGAGCCAGGATGCTCCTTGGCATTGGCTTAGGCTATTCATTTAGGCTACGATGTGACAAAGAACTTGACACAGGTCCTGAGACTTTGAAGGAGGTTGAGTTGGAAGACGGGGGACTGCAGGAAGTTTCAAGGCAGCTACCATTGGATTGTGGCATGGATATTGATGGCTGCTTTTACCTTGGTTTAAAGTGAGCCCTGGAAACATAAAGCCAGAGTAGTGGGATTTGAAAAATGGCACATGGGGCTGGGAAGGTGGCTCAGTGGTAGAGCACTTGCCTTGCATGCCTGAGGCCCTGGGTTCGATTCCTCAGCACCACATAAGCAAAAAGAAAAAAGCCGGAAGTGGTGCTGTGGCTCAAGTGGTAGAGCCCTAGCCTTGAACTGAAGAGCTGAGGGACAGCACCCAGGCCCAGAGTTCAGGCCTCAAGACCGGACAAAAAAAAAAAAAAAAGAAAAGAAAAATGGTACAGTTTGTCAGAAAAGTCAGGGTAAAGGTGGGAATTACAGAAGTCTTCAAGAAATGTGCACGATTATGAGGAAGACAAGGCCAAGGGTTGGCAGCTCATACCTATAAGTGGCTCGGGGCTGAGACCTGAGGATGGGAGTTCAAAATCAGTTGGGGCAGCTGTTAGATTATTGTCTCCAATTAAGCAGAAGAAATCCAAAAGTGGAGCTGTGACTCAAGTGGGAGAGTGCTATCTTTGTATAAAAAAAAAAAAGCTATGGGATGGTGCTCAGGCCCTGAGTTCAAGCCCCAGTGCTATGGTGCATGCACACACATACACATACACAGAGTGAATTTCTGATCAGCTTGAATGTATAAGGAGACGCTATTTCAATGAGCAGCAAAAATAAGTCAAGCATTTGGCTTCAAGACTATAGGAAATAATACATCCAAATCTTGATAACTAGCCACTCCTTTCCTATCCATCACAGGCTCAAAGGCCTGAAGGAGGCAATTCATTTGAAAGGCTTCCTCATGAGAAGAGAGCTAATCTAGGGTCCTCTGGTCACACAAGGACACCCCAGGATTCTTCCAGCAAGTCACTTAGAGCCCAAGGACATTGGAGATGTGAGAAAGCCACAGACAGGAGTATAGGCAGCCCAGGTGAGAGACCACGTGGGCTGTGAGTGGAAAGTGGTGTAAGGGTGGAGCGCCCAGAGCTGACATCACACTCCACACGTGTGCCAGGTGCTGGAAATGGAGAGACAGTATAAAATGCCGAACAGCAGCAGCAGCAGCAGTAGTGTGTGTGTGTGTGTGTGTGTGTGTGTGTGTGTGTGTGTGTGTGCGTGTGCGTGTGTGTGCGTGTGCGTGTGCGTGCACACACACATAGGGCTTGAACTCAGGGGCTGGGCCCTGCCCCTGAGTTTCTCAGTTTCTTTCTTTTCGTTTTTTTAAATCGGTTGTGGGGCTTGAACTCTGGGCCTGGGTGCTGTTCCTGCGCTTTTCAGCTCAAGGCGAGCGCTCTACCTCTTGAGCCACAGCGCCACTTCAGGTTTTCTAGTGTTTTATTGTAGATAAGAGTCTCACAGACTTTCCTGCCCAGGCTGGCTTTTAACTGTGTTCCTCAGATCTCAGCCTCCTGTGTAGCTAGGATTACAGGCGTGAGCCACCTGCACCCTGCATGAGTTTCTGAGTTCCTTTTGCTCAAGGCTAGCACTCTACCGGTGGAGCCACAGCTCCACTTCTGCTTTTTTTTTTTTTTTTATATTGGAGATAAGGGTCTCAGGGACTTTCCTGGGTGGGCTGCTTTTTTTTTTATATTGGAGATAAGGGTCTCAGGGACTTTCCTGGGTGGGCTGGCTTCAAACTGTTATCCTCTGTTCTCAGCCTCCTGAGTAGCTAGGATTACAGGCATGAGCCACTGGTGCTCAACCTTCCTTGCTGTGTTCCAGTCATTGCTCCCTTTGGAACAGATGCATGGACTCTGCCTACCATTCTCCTTCAGAAATAAGCAACTGAGTTCTGGCTTCACAGGGAGGTTGACAGGTAAGGGTTTGCTTTGACTCTCAGAAGACTGAATTTAGATTTGGAAAAAAGAAAACATTGGCGTGGTTAAGACCTCAGGAACTCTTGAAAATGAACAATTTGGGCTGAGAAATTGGCTTAGTGGTAGGATGCTTGCCTAGCAGGTGTGAAGCCCTGGGTTTGATTCCTCATTACCACATAAACAGAAAAAGCTGAAAGTGACACTGTGGCTGAGTGGTAGAGCGCTAACCTTGAGCAAAAGAAGCCCAGGGACAGTGTCCAGGCCCTGTGCTCAAGCCCCAAGACTGGAAAAAAAAAAAGAAACAGAAGAAGCAGAGGAAGAGGAGGAGGAGAAGGAGAGGAGGAGGGAGGGGAAGGAAGGAAGGAAGGAAGGAAGGAAGGAAGGAAGGAAGAAGGAAGAATATGAACTTTAGTCTTTTTTCCTTTTTTACTGTGAGATGTCAGGGGTCTGTTGAGACAGAGGAACATTGGGGTGTGAGTAGAAATGTCTTCCCCAAGTTCGTGTGTTCAATGCATGGTCCCAGCTGGTGGTGTTATTTTGGAACGCTCTTGAAACTGGGGAGGTGAGGCCCGGGTGGAGGTTTGAAGGTTAACGAGGTGCCCGGTCTGCTCAGCTTACTGTGTTGCCCTGTCTGCCACCTTTCTCTCTGCCATGATGTTCAGCCCCACCGCAGCCCTGAAATGCTGGGCATCGTGACCATGAACTGAGCCTCTGAACCCAGGAGCAAAACGAAGAATTCCTCCCGGAAGTTGCTCGGTCACGTATTATTTTGCTCCCAGCGATGCAAAACGAACACAACCTCACGGACACCACTTCACGGCCTGCTCCCCCACCTCGAAGCTCTCACCCCAGCGGAGCAGAGAGCGCACACCTGGGGCCCCTTCAGGACTCTTAATTCGTGGGTGGGGTGCGGAGTTATTAAGGAAGGGAGGGGTACCGCTGGTCTGAGGAAGAAGGCCCATGGACATGAGGACATTGACTGGGCGTGTGGGTGGGCGGGGCTTCTGATAGGAACATAAACTTGGGAGGGCACAGGGCCGGACGTGGGCATGGACAGTGCAGGCTGCTGGGTTGTGTGTGGCATAGCGGCGCAGGGCATTCACTGGTGTGAATGTGGGTGCAGACCACAGGGTGGGGCTGAGCTCTGGGAGTGAGAGGCGGTGGGGGTGGGGGGCCCTGCACTGGGCTCTCTGCTGGGATGGCCAACCCAGGCCCTCTGTGCCGCCAGGGGTGGTGCAGAGCATCAAGGACCACATCACGAAGCCCACGGCCATGGCCCGGGGCCGTGTGGCCCATCTCATCGAGTGGAAGGGCTGGAGTGCCCAGCGGTCAGACTGGGCGCTGTCCCCCGCTGAGGACGAGCGCTACTGCTGCCTCCCGGACGAGCTGCGTGAGGCCCACTTTGCTGCAGGTCAGTGGGGGCAGGCGGGCACAGGCCGGGCTCCACAGGGGTGAAGCTGGGGGCAGGCGGGCACAGGCCAGGCTCCGCAGGTCAGTGGGGGCAGGCGGGAACAGGCCGGGCTCTGTAGGGTGAAGCTGGGGCCTCGGGCCCCACATCATGATGACTGATGCCATGGGTTGGATGGATCACCTGGGTAAGCACGGGCAGCTCACAAAATCCTGCTGAGGCACAGAGGCCCCTGCTGCACCCTGAACAGCCTGCAGAGAGGCTAGGGACGAACAGCAGCTCTGGGCATCAGCTTTATTTTTCTTAGGAGCGTCTGCTGCCTGGGAACATGGTGTCCACATTTGGTGATGGCATGTACCAATTTCTTCATTCACGAATGGGAGACCAGGCATTGGGTGTCAACTGTCCTCCATTTCTTCTCCATCTCCTACTCCTTGCTGCATCCAGGGTAGGGTTTGTCCTTCCAGGCAATGGCTGCTGTCCCCAAGCTGGGACACATGGGTGTGGGTCCTTCTTTGGGGCTAGAGAAGAGCTGCCAGCTCCCCTGTACAGTGGGGAGGGGCTGGGGCAGGTGATGACGGGTGGTGGCATCTAGGGAGAGGCAGGGGCCCTGTCCAGCCCCAGGCAGCTGCGCACCTGCTCTCACTGACCAGGCCGGCTCACTTGGGGGCTGGTGGGTTGGTCAGGGTGGAAATCGCTTTCTTTAACTGCAACAGAGAATAAAAGGGTTGGGAGGAAGGATTCTGACTTTGGAGGCCCCCCTAGGGTGGATGTTGGGGTGGATGGTGGAGCCAGTGCCTCCCCATTGCATCATGGGGTCACTGAGCCCGGAGAGCAGAGGCTCCTAGGGGTCCCCAGACCCAGTGGTCACTCGGGTCCCAGCTGTGAGGTTCATCAGAGTCCTCAGAGGCTCTCAAGC